TATGCAAAAAAAAACAGATCGTGTGTCCATGCCACTTTCATTTATTTTGGCATTCTCCATCTCTCTCCCTGTCTATATACAGTAAATATATATTTAAGAAATACTATCTATCTATCTATCTATCTATCTATCTATCTATCTATCTATCTATCTATCTATCTATATACACTGTATAGTTTGTCTTATAATACATTCATATTCCTGTTTAGGTTAATCTAGAACATTTATGTGGATAGTTGTTGAGGATCTTTCCTGGAGTTGACTTGGTTTCATGAGTTTCATTTCCAGCTGTTCCACAGTATGTAGAAAAAATGTTCCATGTGTGCAACAATTGATTCACCCTCTATGCAGACTGCAGGCTGGTTGATGTCTGATGCATACACAAAACATTCATTATCCTGTGCCATGTTGTTAAAAAAAAAAAAAAAAAAAAAAAAAATGTAGTCATATTCTGTTTTTACTGCACTGTTTAAAATATCAGTTCAAGAAATTAATTCATTTGCAGCCATGACTACTTAACACCAAAGCATTGTTAATAATGGGATTATATGTTTGACATATTATACACTTTGGTGATTATATTTTAATCTAGCTAATGATTTTTTGATTAGTATTATTACCTTGAGACTGATAAAATGTCAGGCTAGGACCTCAATAAAACCAAATTCTGAGTGAAAGCATGAATTGCTCTTTTTGTTGTATTAAACTTATACAGTTCAGTTCTTAACAATGTTGTTTCAAGTATGTATGTCACTCCTCCCTCTTTTTATCATTTGTCCTATGGTAATAGTAATGTTTTTAATGGGATGTTCCAAATAATTACTGACAGCAATCATATACAGAAAGAACAAAGATGAGGAAAAATGTAGATACATTTTTTAATTACCTAGGCATAACTCTAAACAACAAATAGCTCTCTATCTATAATATATATAGTTGCTTGGTATGCTGAGTTGTTTTCCAGAGTAAGAGTGTGAGCTTTTCAGGCAAAGAAGCAGATCCTCTGCTGGCAGTTTGGACGATAGTAAGGCAAATACTATTGCTAAACACAACTAAACATTTCACTTCTCAAAGTGAAAACAGGCAATAATTCAAAAAGCTAGAGAAATGTAGCTTGGCATTGTACCTTCTTAGGAGTCTGGTAAATGCACTGGTACTGTATTGACTAGTGTACTATTACTATTCCACATTAATAAATAGGGGACACTGACTGTACATCCAAATCACAGTACACTGCTCAAGAAAATTAAAGGAACACTTTTTAATCGGAGTAATGCATCAAGTCAATTAAACTCATGGGATATGGATCTGGTCAGTTAAGCATCAGAGGGGGTTGTTAATCAGTTTCAGCTGCTTTGATGTTTATGAAGTTAATAACAGGTACACTAGATGGGCAACAATGAGACGACCCCCCAAACAGGAATGGTTTTACGGGTGGAGGCCACTGACATTTTTTTCCCTACTCATCTTTTCTGACTGTTTTTCACTATTTTTGCAATTGGCTAGGGTCAGTGTCACTACAGGTAGCATGAGGTGATACCCGGACCCTACAGAGGTTGCACAGGCAGTCCAACTCCTCCAGGATGGCACATCAATAAATGCCATTGCCAGAAGGTTTGCTGTGTCTCCCAGCATGGTCTCAAAAGCATGGAGGAGATTCCAGAAGACAGACAGTTACTCTAGGAGAGCTGTACAGGGCCATAGAATGTCCTTAACCCATCAGTGGGACCGGTATCTGCTCCTTTGTGCAAGGGGGAACACAATGAGCACTGCCAGAGCCCTACAATATGACCTCCAACAGGCCACTGGTGTGAATGTCTCTGACCAAACAATCAGAAACAAACGTCATGAAGGTGGTCTGAGGGCCCAATGTCCTCTAGTGGGCCCTGTGCTCACTGCCCAGCACCATAGAGCTCGATTGGCATTTGCTATTAAGCACCAGAATTGGCAGGTCTGCCACTGGAGCCCTGTGCTTTTCACAGATGAGAGTAGGTTCACCCTGAGAAGCTGTGACAGATGTGAAAGGGTCTAGAGAAGCCGTGGAGAACATTATGCTGCCTGTAACATTGTTCAGCATGACCGTTTAGGTGGTGGGTGAGTGATGGTCTGGGGAGTTATATCTATGGAGGGATGCACAGACCTCTACAGGCTAGACAATGGCACCTTGACTGCCATTAGGTATCGGGATGAAATCCTTGGACCCATTGTCAGACCCTACACTGGTGCAGTGGGTCTTGGGTTCCCCCTGATGCATGACAATGCCCGGCCTCTTGTGGCAAGAGTATGCAGGCAGTTCCTGGAGGATGAAGAAATTGATATCATTGAATTGCCCCCACACTCACCTGACCTAAATCCAATAGAACACCTCTAGGATATAATATTTCGGTCCATGCTATGCCACCAGGTTGCACCTCAGACTGTCCAGGAGCTCAGTAATGCCCTGGTCCAGATGTGGGAGGAAATACCCCATCTCATTAGGAGCATTCCCCGACATTGTCAGGCATGCATACAAGCATGTGGGGGCCATACAAAGTACTGAGTACCATTTTGAGTTGCTGCAATGAAATTTCAGCAAAAATGGGCTAACCTGCTGCATCATTTTTTTCACTTTGATTTTTGGAGTGTCTTTGAATTAAGTCCTCTGTAGGTTGATAATTTTCATTTCCATCAAACAATGGGGCATCCTTATGTTCCTAATACATTACCGAATCCATATCAGGATAGATATCCTGCATGATATTTTTCCCCATTGAAATCTAATGTGTTTTCATAGTGTTCCTTTAATTTTTTTGGAGCAATGTATATTCACCTAAAAAAAATGTTGAGTGCAGGAACCTTACAATTTCAAGATTATATAGAGGAGAAATATGAAGATTGTTTATTTTTAACTTGTTGTTGGTTTTATGTACAGCTGAGGAATTTTAAATGCCTTTAAATTTGTGTTTCTACAGAGGAAAGATAAGCATTCAAAATGTATGTCTTTTGATATTTACTAATAATGAAAGCTTTTGTATTCATTACTATGGGTATAAATTGACAGTTAAAGTGTAACTAAAGGTGCTTCTATTTATTTTATTTATTTTTTTCATTTTGGATAGAGTAAAGGTGGGTTATAATAACTGCCAGGGTTTTTGTTGGTTCTTTTTTGCCATCTGCATCCCATAGGGGAGATTTCCCTTTAATTCCCATAGTCAGAACAGGAAGTGAGATGAAGCCCCTCTAAAGTGAGAGTATTGCGGGGTGTCACCAGAACTAGAGTCCCCATTGAACGATTCCCCTTTATTCCTGTTCTGGAGTCAACCCAAAATTTGTGATTTTCTTTTACTTTCACCTTTGAGAGGGTGAATCTCCCTAACGGAGGCACAGACAATGATAAAACCCGATAGGGGTTCTAATCCCTCTCCACTCTGTCCAAAACCAAACGTTTTGCCTTTAGTTACAGTTTAATTGCTGTGTTAACCACTTGCCGCCCTGCCACTGTAGAAATACGGCGGCAGGGCGACACGGGAAGGCAAAACCACGTTTTAAAACGTGTGTTTTGTAAACAGGTAGGGCGCGCCGCCGCCCTACCTGTCCCGCCGATCACAGCCGCAGATGTCAGTCGCCGGGTCACAGCCGGTCCTTACCTGCTATCTCCCGGCGATCGGCGGCAATCAGTGACAGAGAGCACAGCTGAAGTAGCTGTGCTTTCTGTCACTTCCCTGACAGCTCGAGGACAAGCTAATCGGGACAGAAGAGTTTCACTCTCCCGATCAGCCGTGTCCCCTGCAGTACACACCCCCGCCCCCTAGTAAAACACTCCCCCTCACATAGATAACCCTTCCCTGCAAAATAAACTTAACCTCTTCCTCCCCAGTGCCATTAGTACAGTGTCAGTGGTTTTTTTTTTTTTGCACTGATCACTGTATTGGTGTCACTGGGGATGTCAGTGACCCCAAGTCAGTACCCCCCCAGTGTCAGAATGTCCGCCGCAGTCCCGCAGCCCCGCCATAAGTTGCTGATCGCTGCCATAAGTCCCCGATCGCCGCCATAAGTCGCTGATCGCCGTCATTATTAGTAAAAAAAAAAACTAAAAAAATACCAGTATCTTTCCCGCCATTTGTAAATGCTATAACTTTCACGTAAACCAATTAATTTACACGTATTGGGTTTTTTTTTTAGCAAAGACGTGCATTTTGGCAGAAATTTATGACTAAATTTGATTTTTAAATAGTTTTTTTTACTGGAAATGTTTTATAGCAAACAGTCCAAAATATTGTTTTTTTTCCTCAAAATTGTCAGCCTTTTTTTTTATAGCGCAAAAAATAAAAACCACACAGGCGATCAAATACCACCGAAAGAAAGCTCAATTTGTGGGGAAAAAAAGGATGTAAATTTCATTTATGTACCGTATTACATGACCGCGCAATTGTCCGTTAAACTAGCGCAGTGCTGTATAGCAAAAAAATGGTGTAAATTGCAGTATCTATACCACAGTTTGTAGACGCTATAACTTTCACACAAAGCAATCAATATACACTTATTGGGATTTTTTTTACCAAAAACATGTAGCAGAATACATTTTGGCCTAAATTTTATATAACCAACTTTGAGTTTACTATATATTTTTTATAGCTGAAAGTAAAAAATATTGTTTTTCTTTAAACTTTTTGGCCTTTTTTTGTTTTATAGCGTGAAAAATAAAAAGCGCACAGGTGATCAAATACCACCAAAAGAAAGCTCTATTTGTGTGAAAAAAGGGCCGTAAATTTCGTTTGGGTGCAGCATTGCATGACTGCGCAATTATCAGTTGAATTAGTGCAGTGCCGAGTAGCAAAAGGAGGCCTGGTCATTAAGGGGGGTAAATCCTCCGGAGGTCAAGTGGTTAAAATGTAAGCCTTTCTAGCATTTGGTCATATACACTATATTGTCAAAAGTATTGGGACACCCCTCTAAATCATTGTATTCAGGTGTTGTAATAACGTTCATGGCCACAGGCATAAAAAATCAAGCACCTAGGCATGCAGACTGCTTCTACAAACATTTTTGAAAGAGTAGGGCACTCTCAGGAGCTCAGGAGTTAATTCAAGAGTGGTACCGTGATAGGTTGCCATCTGTGCAATAAGTCGATCCATGAAATGTCCTTGCTACTAAATATTCCATGGTTAACTGTTAGTGGTATTATAACAAAGTGGAAGCTATTGGGAACAAGAGCAACTCAACCACCAAGTGGTAGGTCACGTAAATTGACAGAGAAGGGTCAGCACATGCTGAAGCACAGAGTGTGCAGAAGTCGCCAACTGTTTGCAGAGTCAATAGCTAAAGACCTCCAAACTTTGTGTAGTTCCCAGATTAGCACAAATGCGCTTCTGGAAGAATGGTCAAGCGTTCCCATAGATACACTCCTAAACCTTGTGGTCAGCCTTCCCAGAAGAGTTGAAGCTGTTATAGCTGCAAAGGGTGGGCCAACTCAATATTGAACCCTACGGACTAAGACTGGGATGCCATTAAAGTTCACTTGTGTAAAGGCAGGCGTCCCATTACTTTTGGCAATATAGTTCATATTGTATATATATTCTATTACACGTTGTCTTTAGTATTGACTTCTTAAAGTGAAACATTTAACGATATGAGAAGTGACAACTCTGTTGCCAATTAAAAAAAACAAACATAGATTGGCAGTTTTCTCTGTTACACAAATGCTTTAGCACTGTGGTAATGTTGTGAATCAGCAGATGTCATTGGCACATTTGCTTACATTGGCATTTTTTTTTAAATGGTTATGGCACAGTGAGTTCTGCATCATCCATGTCCCAAATTACTGACCATAACTGATGCTGAATTTATTTTAAATCCTCCTGCAAAAATCTTGGTATTCAAACTTGTTGCTAATTAATTATTCACTAATTAATTATTAGCTAACATGGTACAATACTCAACTAATGCTGTGACAGAAAACTCCTATGTAACAGTAGCCACTACCAAAACCCCCTGTTTTCCCTCTCATCCCAGTCCATACAATATCAATGCTAAGGTGCTAAGTATTTTAAAGAGTAACTTAACGTTTGTTGAGAAAAAAAAACCATTGTGAGACTTTATAATTAGCAATCAGGTGCTGCACTTGCTGGGTTCTATAAAGGAAAGTGGCAGGGTCTGTATCCCTTTAGACGTGATTTCCCTTTGGGAGTATCTCACCAAAAATGACATTTTTGTTGCAGGGGATCCCCAAATCTGACTTGCATGTTAGTGCAGACTTTAGGGAAAATCAGAGAACCAATCGCTAAAGCAGGAAATTTCATTATTGGGGGGCTTTCTACACAACAACTGTGTACAGAATCCCTCCATGTTGCCATATTGCATTGCATTTTATAGAAAATGACAGCGCTGCAGATTAAAAAGGAAAGGTAATTTTTAATAACATTCAGTTACAATATAGCTTTTGTAGCAACTGTATATACTAAATTATCTTTTTTTTTTTTGCTATTTTTTCCCCACAAAAGTGGAGTTACCCTTTTAAGATATTTTGTGAGAGACTGATGATTTACATATATAGATGGCAGGAAGAATGCTTTCTGCAAAGGCCTACTACTTTCAAAACAGACACAGGCATGGCAGCAAAATCACATAAATCAGAACTGTGTGGTGGTCACTAAGGCTTCGTTCACACCTATGAGATTTGTTTTTTGTCCGTTTTTTATTTTCAGTTGAATTTTTTTTGTTGCTGGGCAAAATAAAAATGAAAAAAAGCAAAACGCAGTAAAAAAGCGGGCAGCGAAAACGCACTACTATGCATTTCAGCAAATTCCCCATTGAAATTTTTGTAGCAAAAACACTGCTTTTTGCTTTTAAAAAAAAAATTCCCTGACCCTTTCCAAAAATGTAGCAGCTCAAAAAAAACAGATGTGAACATGTTCCATAGGAAACCATGTTAAATGGACTGTAGTGCGTTTCTGCAAAAAGCACTAAAAACGCATTGGTGTGAATGGAGCCTTAGGGGGGAGGGGTGGCATTAAAAGCAGGCAGTTGAGCCATGGTATGAATTCTAACATTACAGCCTGACAGGGCTGTACATATGCCATAGCCATAAAGCTCTGCTTGGTGGCCACAGCATTCTTTCCAGTGGCTACTCCTGGCACCTGTCAAATTTGACCATCAAGGCTCAATCCTACAATGTAAAATTGTAATTTGTCAATTAAACAATTTAAAAAAAAAACAGGCATTCGGAGGCAACAATATCATCTCTTGACTGTCTGCTAACCAATGCTATACCACCCTCTGAAAATCAATCCACTGTGAATCGCTTGAAAGAGCAATCTGTAAGAAGCTGCCCAAACTCTAATGCCTGGTTCACACAATAGGTTTTTTCATTCAACCCAGAGGTCTGAATGTAAAAAAAAACTGAGGAGGACTCTGTACTAACCAGGGGCGGACTGGCAACTCATGGGGCCCCCAGGCAATAGGGGATCATGGGGCCCCTGTGTCCTTGCCCAAACTCAAAAAAGCCTATGAAAAAGGTACCAGGGGCATCTCATGGGGCCCCCTACTGACCCCCGGCCCTCGGGCAGTGCCCGAGTTTCCAAATGGTCAGTCTGCCCCTGGTACTAACTATGCGATGGACCTACGCCCACCCCCTCCCCCTCCTTCCAGAACACACTGGTCAGCACTCACAGCCACTGGCTGTAAGTGGTGATCGGATGCTGATCGGCTGCTGGTTTCCAGCATGCTCATTCAACAGAAGCTGGTCATGAGTGGAGTGACAAGCAATTGTACACACTGCCCGAAAGTTGGCCAGTTTCTGCTGTATCTGATTTTGGCTGATGTTTTGAGCTAAACTCGTACACATTGGTTGACTTATCCCTCCTTGTGTCATCTCCCCAGCTAAGTAATATGTTAGCGTGTGTGTGTATCACAAATATAGCCAAACAGAATTAAATATATTTTGACAAGTAAGAGAGTTTACTAAAATGCATTTCAGTTTTATGTTGAACAGTTAGTAGGAGTCCTGCTTTATATTCAATAAACTTTTCTCCAACTCCAATTGTCAAAATGTACTGTTTTCTGGCAGTTAAAAAAAAAAATATCCTCTGAGAAAAGAGAAGGTCATCCAACTGGAAAAAAAATGAAACTTTATAACTCCAAGCGTGTTTGCTCAGCAGTTTTAAAAAGGCTAGTTTCAAATGGCTTGTCATTATACTGTATCTTGCATGTCTAGACCACCTTGCACTTATTCCTCCTCTCCTCATGCTGTTTGGAATTTGTTTTTAAGGGCACAATCTGATAAAGCACTTTGACATTTTGCAGTCTGTTTTTTATAACAGCTATGAGGTTTGTTGTTACTACTTTTACTTCACATACATAAGTATCATTTCAGCGAAGAACTGCAAAAACAAGCAAAACCACATGGCATGGAGTCTTTCAGAATAAACATGGTACTTGCAGTAATTTATCTATGTTCCACGTGTTATTGGCAATCTCAAGGAGAGCAATATTGTTTTCACATGTCACATTCAAACTAGATTTCTAATACAATAACATCTGTAAATATAACCCAGGCTTTTATGTAGTCAAGAATACTAAAGCTCTCATGCCAAACAGGCTGCTCAGCTGGTGTGTGGATTGTGTTATATTCATCTTATAACACCACTTCTATATGCAACAAGAAAGAATTTGTACAAATAGAAAGAAACTATTGCTAGGACGTAACTATGTATCTAGAGATCTGTATGTCAATCACCAGGCTCATATACTATTATTTTTGCCCTGAACACTATATGCATTGTAAAACAGTCCATTACATACTTTTGGTTTCATCATAAATGTCTACATAAATTCTGTCTGATGGCTATGTGCTGATGTTTTTTGTCCAAAAAAGTGAAAATGTCCATCACTTTAAAATAGTTTTCCAGTAAAAGTTGTATATATGCAGTTTTTCTAACATATCTGTGCTTCATCTTTGCAACATCCTTTATGCAACAGTGGGACCCTCATCTTTCCATCTATAGTTGTTTAAAATTCTCAGCAGACTGAAGTTTGACTATTTATACACTGTATAGTTTAATGGTACTTACAAGTTTTCAGTGAGACTGATTTATTAATCAGCCTTTGCTCAGAGTACTGTTTGTTGGCAATACTTTAAAAATTAAAATTTTTACTGGACATAAAAGTATGTACGGTACTTTTACCATACATAAAAGTGAGCAAAACATCATGTCTTGAGTTCTATCAGATTAGTGATTTCTGTATTTTATGTATGTATCACATAAGGTAATCTAAAAAGGGAGGTTCATTTATGTGTGTCATACGCACACTAGAGATAAAGTTTTGATTTTAGCACAGTTGTTCTTTCCTCGTTACACGTTTCCCTGTGTGTAACTTGAAATGCAGCTAAACCCTCCTATTCTGCAATAAGCCAGACTGAATGCAATCTATCTAAGAACATACAAAAAACACGATGAACAGTTAGGCTATTGATGGAAGAAAGTCCATGCCTACCAGCGTTGCTGCCTTTAGGGGATGCAAAGAGATGCATTTAGTCCAACATGTGCTCTGATAGCTGGCTTCTCTCTCTCCAGTTTCTAAGATGGAGTTTGAGCTCCCAAGATGCATCTTTTTTCTATCTCTCAGAATTGCAGGAATTTTTATTAAAGTGTTACTAAACCCATAACAGTAAAATCAGTTGCTATATGCAGCAAAGCGCACTTGCTATACTCACTGTGAAACCTAAGGGGTTAATCCTCTGCATTGTGTAAAAAAGGATGTTTGATCCTGTCTTCTCTGATCCTCCCCTTTTTCTACTGTCCTAAGTCCATCTGCTGATAGAACAGAGCCTTGGAGGCAAGCTGCACATGCTCAGTTTGGTGTGCATTGCTAGAGCGTTTTTCTCTTTTTTTGGGGGGGGGGGTGCATGTGATCATCACAGGGCCAATCAGTGCTGTCTAGAGTTGCTGGGTCCAGAGGTTATGCAGCCTCAAGGACCAATCAGGGGAGAATGAAAACTCCTTCTACAAGCTTTACCAGTGCTCTGCTGGACACTGATAGAAGCCACAAGACTGCTCTAACTGTTGATGAGAAAAGGTATTTAGCAGTTTATATTTACTAAAATAATAGCATTTCCATATTCTGTTTACTGTGGGAGACCAGATACTGTATGGTGAATGCAGGGCCCTAGGTTTAGTAGCACTTTTGACTCCTAACTCTTAACTAAGCAGTCTCTAGTTTCTGTTAAATGATCGATTTATTACTGGCTACATCTAGTGGTCACATTTGATATTGCAGGCAGGACAAGCATAATATAGTCCCTGCTGGAGGTAGAACAACAATTATACCTGTAAATCTAACCCAAACTTCCCAGTAGTCAGGATTAGAAAAATTAAAACTCTTATGCCAAGCAGTATAAT